ATACTCTAATTACAAAACGAGCAGAAAACATGAAGAGACACTTTTCCAAAGAAGACATACAGATGACCGAAATACACATTGAAAAGATGCGCAACGTCATTCATCATCAGGAAAATACAAATCAAAACTAAAACGTTATGTCATCTCACACCTGTCAGAATGCCTAAAATCAACAACACACAAGAGAAGCAACAGGCATTTGAGAGGGTGTAGAGAAAGGGGACCCCTCTTGCACTATTGGTGGGAATGCAAACATAGGCAGCCGCTCTGGAAAACAGTATGGAGTTTCTTCAAAAAGTTAAAAATAGAACTACCCTATGATCTAGTAATTGCTCTACTAAGTATTTACCCAAAGAATACAAAAATACGAATTCAGAGGGATACATGTACTCTGATGTTTACAACACCATTTTCTACAATAGCCAAATTATGGAAATAGCCCACTTGCCCATCGACTGATGAATGGATAAAGAAGATGTGGCATATTTATACAATAGAATATTATTCAGCCATTAAAAAAGAATGGAATCTTGCCATTTGCAGTGACATGGATGGAGCTACAAAGTATTATTCTAAGTGAAGTCAGTCAGTCAGAGAAGGGCAAATACCGTACGATTTCACTCATATGTGGAATTTAAAACAAAGGAGCAAAGGGGAAAGAAAGAGAAAGGCAAACCAAGAAACAGACTCTTAACCATAGAGAACAAACTGATGGTTACCAGAGGGGAGGTGGGTGGGGGGATGGGTGAAATAGGTGATGGGGATTAAGGAGGGCACCGGTTGTGAGAAGCACCTGGTACCGTATGGAAGTGTTGAGTCATTATTACACTGTAAACCAATATTACGCTGCATGTTAACTAACTGGAATTTAAATAAAAACTTAAAAGCTTAAAAAAATAAAGTTAATGGAAAAATGGGGAAAAAATCTACATGGTCAGAAATCAGGGACTGACTATATCTACATATTCAAAGACTTCGCTGCCTATGGAAATCACATTTTAGAAGAACATTTCATAACATGGGCAAATGTAGAACTTGAATAAGGCAACTTATAAAAGAGTACTTGCCTTATGATTCAAAGTTTGTTTTAAAAAGGCACATATATGCCTAGGAAAAATTCTGGGAGAATATAGATCCTGAAATAAATAGTATTTATTTCTGGAAGTTAGGATTACATTTTTAAAAGGTGGTTCTCCTTATCCTTCATTACATTTTTCCAAATAATCACCAAAAAATATGTATTATCCTAATGATGAACAAATCAATTCAATTTTTCTAAAAATAAAGGTAATTCTGACCAGAGACGCATTTGAAAGCTTTTGAGAAGACAAAAATGGCTTGGATTGTTTTACGAACAGCCACATCCGAAGCTGGATATATGCGCTGGGGTCTCTGTGGTTATGAAATTTGTGACAAATGCCCACGCAAAATGAGTGTTTGTTTGCCACTTTCCAGTTTTTTCTTCTAACTCATAATTTGGGGTTAATAGCAATGCACTGGAATTGTGCCTTATGAAAAAGCTATTGTTTTAGAGATGTAAATTTCCAAGCTTTCTAGGACTAAAATGCAATGTCTTGTTATCACCAAGTTAACGGGGGGAGGGTGGGAATCTACAACATGGCAGTGTATTTATATTTATATTTATATTTATATTTATATTTATATTTAATTGCTTAGCTCAAACTGTCTAGAGCCTGACAAGCAACTTAACTTTTAATGACTTAGCTCTATGAGATCATAGTAACGGACTTTTTAAAATGTTTAAACGGATCATCTACAAAATGTAATTATTAATTACAGGTAATATAATTATTATTACCTGTAATAAGTTATAATTATTTTGTTTGGGACAAGTCAAGTGAATAATAGAGATAGTACATTATTAGCCTATTGGGACTACTATTATCTACACTGTAGGTTGGCAAGCTCATTCACCACCTATTTGGGTACAGCTGGTGAGCCAACAACGGTTTTTATATTTTTGAGTGGCTGGAAAAAGGCCGAAGAAAAAGAATATTTCATGAAATGCGAAAGCTAATATGAAATCCAAATTTCAGTGTTCACACAGTTTTACTGGAAGAGAACCACACTCATTCTTTTAAATCTGTCCGTGACTGCCTTTGCACTACAACGGCTTCTTGAAAGAAATGCGACAAAGTCTCAAATATTTGTTAGTTGATCCTTTACAGAAACTGATGCTTTCAAGGTGGTTCTGAATATTACTTGTATTTCCTATCATCAGTCTCTAGATGGCAGAAAAGATCCTTAAACTGGGGGTTACTGGCATATGGAATATTTTTATATTCCCAATTAACTCACCCCCTGAAAGTCACCCCTTCCAACAGCACAAAACATTTTTTCTATACCTGTTCAATAAACCCAAAATTAAATGCCTCAAAGAAACCAAAGGGTTCATTTAGCCTAGAACGAATGTCTGTACTGAAATTTAGCGTTTATTCACTACTGCCTAAAATAAATAAATATTACATAAATCTGCACCATTAAAGAGGCTGACAGTATAGCTGACAAGTGAAATTGTAATATATTTAAACTGTACAATGTGATGATTTGACATATGCAGACATTGTGAAATGATTACCTCAATCAAGTTAATTAACACATCAATGACCTCACCTAGTCATTTAAAAAAATTTTTTTTACGATTGACTCTTTTAGCAAATTTCAAGCATACAATATACAATACAGTACTATTAGGTAGAGTGAGCCTGCTGTACGTTAGATCTTCACAATTTATTCACCTTATAATGTTCACCTTATAATCTTCAGAATTTATTAAACTTATTAATGAGTTTATACCCTTTTACCATCCTCTCCCCATTCCTTCCAACACGCCACCATTGGCAACCCCTTTTCTACTCAGTTTCTATCAGTTGACTCTTTTGTTCAGTTCCACATATAAGTGGACAAATAGACAGCATTTGTCTGTCTCTAACTTATTTCAATAGCAGAAAGTCTTCAAATTTCATCCATGTTATCATCAATGGCAGGATTTCCTTCTTTTTTAAGACTGAATAATATTTCATCATGTGTATACACATACATACACGCAGATACACACACACACACACACACACACACACACACACTCCACATTTTCTTGATCCACTCATCTGTCAACGGGCACTTAGGTTGTTTCCATATTGTGGCTTCTTAGTTTTAATGTGTCTATAAAACATTCTTCTCTTTATAGACTGAATTACACTTGTTAAACCTCCACATTATGCCAATAGGTTTAGAATTAGTTACGCTGTGTGTGTATTGGGTACTAACTTGTTTTAACAGAATATAGGAGGTTTTAGGACTTGAATTTTCTCCTAGTGTTGGGTAGACATAGCTACAAACTAGACAGATTTTACACATGAATCAGTAAGAGCAAGGTGAGTGGGTCTGCACACACACATCGCTGCTTCATATTTACTATCACATAAAAAACAGATGGGGATCCCTCGAAAGAAGGATGCAAATCTATACCCTCAACATGATAGCATGACTCATGTTCTTCGAAATTCCAAGTTCCTCATTTCTCTGTTCACACACTGTTCACCCCCCTCACATTCCCTTCTGCCATTTCTGCCCCTGTTTACTTTTCCTGTAACTTCCAGGCATAAACTTTTCCACAGAAGTAGAGAAGTTAACATAGGACAATGGATACCCCAATGGCCAATCCCCTGGTTTAAGTAATTTTATTTGTCTCTCTTTCCTGCTTCTCTTTCCCTGCCTCTCCCTCCCTTTCTCTCTCCCTCTCTCATGTCTGTTGCTAAACCAGTAGAAAGTTGCAGACATCATGACACTTCACTCCTAAATAATTCACCACATATCTCCTAAAATAATGACATTTTCCTGTATGCCCACAATACAATCATACACATAAGAATTAACAATAGTTCTAGGGGTGCCTGGGTGGCTCAATCAGCTAAGCATCTGGCTCTTGATCTTGGCTCAGATCATGATCTCATGATTCATGTGATAGAGCCCCACGTGGGGCTCTGCTTGGGATTCTCTCTCTCCCTCTCTCTCTGCCGCTTCCCAAGTGCTTGCTCTCTATCTCTCAAAATAAATAAATTTAAAAACAGTTTAACAATAATTCTATACAATCAACTAATAACCAGTGAACATTGAAATGTCTCCATTTAACCTTAAAATGTCTTTTAGAGATCTGCGGTTGACCAGGATGTAATGTAGAGTCAGGCTTCACATCTGGTTGCTGGGTTTCCCAAATTCTCCTTTAAAACTACAGGAGTCCCTGCCCCCACTGCCTCGACACACACTTCTTTTTATGATGCTGAGGTTTTTTTTTTTAGAGACCAGATCATTTGCTGTATAGAATCCACATTCTGGATTTCTCCGATTGTTTTCCTCTGGAGTCATTTAAACTACTTTTCTTTAAACATTTTTTTTAATGTTTATTTATTTTTGAGAGAGAGAGAGAGTGTGCATGCGTGTGCACGTGAGTGGTGGGGGTGGGGGGCACAGAAAGAGAGGGAAACACAGAATCTGTAGCAGGCTCCAAGCTCTGGGCTGTCACCACAGAGCCCGACGCGAGGCTTGAAACATGAACTGTGAGATCATGACCTGAGCTGAAGTCGGACACTCAACCGATTGAGCCACCCAGGAGCCCCTGCCCTTGTTATTATTTTTAATGCTCTATTTGGTGTGTGAGAGCATCTTCCGGCTGGATGCTTTAACATGTTGTTATTATTCTTTGATGCAAAATGTTCTTCTGGGATCTTTTTCCACAGCTGAGACCAACAGCAGCCTCCCCTCTCTTCCATGTCTCAGCAGCACCTCCATTTGAAGAGACCTCCCACTTCCTTTTGGACTTTGTCATTCAGTAACTTGAAAGTGCTACATTGCTTCCCCCATCCCCACCGACCCTTTGCGGAACACATCAATGGGCATCAAGAGGAACCCTTGCAAATTCAAACAAGATCATAAAGGAGAGTCGGTTGTCCTTGAAATGTCTTAACGTTTTGTCTTACCTTGCATAGTAGTCATTGGGTGGAACTGCTTCTTGAAAGAATTGGAACTGGTATAAATAAAGTCCAATCAAGTGCCCCGCAGTGAAAATAGCCAGCAGCACACAGAGACAGCTGAACAGCAATGGATCAAATGTCCGGCACCAGGACCACCAGGTGCACAGACCCAAAAATACAAAGAAGTACACAGATGAGGTCAAAGACGGCAACATCATACCTAAGGAAGAAGAGATGTGATCACAAAAATCGCATGGAACTGGGAAATCATTCACCACTCGAGACATGTTCCTATTGGAGATGATGGACATTTCCTTCATATGTTTTCCGGTGTAGATCCAGTGATTAAAATGGGAATCCCATTTCATTTATAAAATCAGAGCTAATACTATTTTTGTTGTGCAAAAGATCACACATAAAGTGGTATTTGTTAATATAGGGAAACACAGGATGATGCCAGAAATTCTTCCCGTGCTGTTTGGCAGAGCAAGTATCTACTTTTCATACAGTAAAGTTAGCACAGTTACTTGCCTGTTTCCATCTTTCTACTTCTCCCCCCAGTTTTTTCCGGGAGACTTGTGTGCCCATTCCAACTTACCCTGATACCATTTTTAAAAATGTTTACTTATTTATTTTTGTGAGAGAGAGAGATTGAGAGAGTGCAGAAGGGGCAGAAGGAGTGACTGACAATCCCAAGCAGGCCCCACACTCCCAGGGCAGAGCTTGACATGGGGCTTGATCTCATGAACCCTGAGATCATCACCTGAGCCAAAATCAAGAGTTGGAGGCTTAACCGACTGAGCCACCAGGAGCCCCTCCCTGATATCACTTTTTATAATAACTTACTTTTTTGGGGGTAAGTGGGGTTCATAAAATTATTCCATCTATGGCGAAGTCTCCCTAAAACTTTGCCCTACCCAATGAAATCTGATTCATACTATTACCAAAAGGGGACATGGAAAATGAGGGAATTTTTTTTATAGGCATTTAAAAACTTTTGTAGGGGGCGTGTTGAAATGACTCTTCATTAAAATATTGGGATATTTCTTGAGAAATTCAATTCTCTTTTCCACTTTTTAACTTTGGTATTTAAAAAACTGTCACATTGTTTCATCTTGTGCAATTTCAAGGAAGCGGTATGGACCCAACTTCCCAGTGGCTCTGGAGCAGCCGCCAGCAGCAAGATGGAAGGAGGGAGAAAATGGAGATAACATTATTATGGAACAAGCAGTCAGCGGCCAAGATTTAAAGGAAGTGAGTGTCTGTGCTGCAAGATTACAATCTAACTGAGGAAGAAAAATAGTATATCCTGGAGAGTTAAATTAAGACTCCTAATGACCCAGTGTAAACAGACGTGCTTTCAGAATGTACACATGTGGCTCTCTGGAGAGTATACTGACATTGTTCATCGTAGCTGATCGCCATTCACGGGCTCTGGGGGAGGAGAACGGTGGTCTTTCTGATCTACGTATAAAACAGAACATCACCTAGATATGGAAAAAGATTGCTTTATGGAGGTTAATAGAAACGAACCAAGGGGCACCTGGGTGGCTCATTCGGTCAAGCGTCTGACTTCAGCTTGGGTCATGATCTCGCGGTCTGTGAGTTTGAGCCCCGCGTTGGGCTCTGTGCTGACAGCTCAGAGCCTGGAGCCTGCTTCAGATTCTGTCTCTCTCTCTCTCTCTCTCTGCCCCTCCCCACTCCTGCGCTCTCTCACTCTCAAAAATAAATACACAGTAAAAAAAAAAAATTAATTAAAAAAAAAGAAACCGACTAAAAACACAAACATGAGAACTGAACAGGAAAAATTATTTGTGTGTGTTGTGTGTACACGTGGCCAGTTTTACAAATTATGGCTATGAGTTTGGTGTTCTGGAATGAGGCTGTTTCCTTCGGCATTTTCTCCTCAGCCTTGTCTTTCATGACTCGCCAAAGTGCTACCTGTATTCCAACCCATACTGGAAACTCTCACCTGATGAACCGAGTAAAATGGTCACCACAACTTTTCCAGCAGTGGTTATCATGTTGCCGATAAACTCCTTAAGCTTGGAGGCCACCGAGGCGAGTCTGCGGAACATTTTTAACTTTGTGCTCTCTTCCACCTCGCCTTCCACACCGTCTCCTTCATCTAAATCCTCTTCGTAGATCAGTGCCTCTTCTGGATCTATTTTTTCTCCTCCGGCCTAAATAAAGGGGAAACAGAAAACACTGCAGTCCAGAACTCTGTCTACCACCCCGCAGATTATATGGTTTGTAATTTATGAGTCAGTCAGTGAGGTGAGCTTCACAAACCAGGGGAAAAATGCAGACAACCACCGAAGTCCCCCCAGGTTTCTGCCAGTCCCTGTGTAAGCCCACGTCACTTGGATCTTTCCTGAAGAAGTAAACAGGAAACATCACCAATCATAGAACCCATAACAACATGCTACTGAGCCACATGAACTCACTTTTTATAGTCAGAGGAAGAAACTGTCTGAGACGTCTATTAAAACCTTAGCTTTCATCATCTTGGTTTGGTTCCTCACATTTAAAGTGTTTGCCACCAGGGCGATAGGTAGTTTGATTAAAGTATCCATGGCTTTACCCAAAACGGTGGATCAAATCTGTGCTTGTGCAATCCCTTTTCTTTCTGAAGTAAATTTTGTCCACTATGTTAGTGTCTCCTGGTCAGAGGAGGTTGAGTGTTCTTAGGTCACCTGACTAGATATACAGACACTTCCTAATTTATCCTTTGACAGAATGATCTACTGGTTCGATCCTGGGTGATTCGGCACCTCAGTAACATCCTCAGAGATGTAGGGAAGAAATACAGGGGTAGAACATACAATGTTTTATATATTATTTTAAACTGGGTATACTGATGTGTTTTTGTCTGTTTTGTTTTTAGAGAATATGTAGAAATATTTTTTTTGGGGGCTAATTATAGTCTTTCCCTAGAAGTCTTAGGATTTTCTTTTTAAGTTGTTAGAAATATAAACCATCACCTAAGACTAAAGGTTGTTTTAGGTGCTCAGACTCTCTTTGCATTTGCCCCTAGGCTGGCAGATTTCTTTTTTTTAATTAATTAAAAAAAATTTTTTTTTAACGTTTTTATTTACTTTTGAGACAGAGAGAGCCAGAGCATGAGCAGGGGAGGGGCAGAGAGAGAGGGAGACACAGAATCCGAAGCAGGCTCCAGGCTCCGCGCTGTCAGCACAGAGCCCGACGCGGGGCTTGAACCCACGGACTGTGAGATCATGCATGACCTGAGCCGAAGCCAGGACGCTCAACCGACTGAGCCACCCAGGCACCCCTTTTTTAATTAATTTTAAAAAATATGTTTATTTGCTTTTAAGCTAGACAGGGCGTGAGTGGGGGAGGGACAGAGAGAGGAGACACAGAATCTGAAACAAGCTCCGGGCTCTGAGCTGTCAGCACAGAGTCTGACATGGGGCTCAAACTCTGAACAGTGAAATCATGACCTGAGCGGAAGTCAGACGCTTAACCAACTGAGCCCTAGGCTGGCAGACTTCTTTTAGCCCAACTGAAAAGACCACACTGGCTGCGGAGCCAGAAGGGTCTTTTAGGCCCAGTTCAGACATCCATTTAAGGCCTAAAGAGTACATCCAGCCTCTCTATTTTCCCACTTAAAGATTTCTTTCTCAGCCCAGCCTCTCCAGTTTCCTATTTTAAAGGTTTTTTTGTTTTTTTTTTTTTTTTTTTTTTTTTTTTTTTTTTTCCTTGATACACTTAGCTCAGATATTCACATGATATTCACTGCTGGTAACTGAATCTCTAACTATGCCCTTGGGCATGAAAGGAAGCCTGCAGAGAATGGCATTAAAGCTCAAGTTAGTGCCCAGTGGCCTTGAGAACTCAGAGATCTTCCTTTGCCTAGGAAGGTACAGGCTGCTCGTGACAAGCTATCTATCGATGAAGCCAAGGGTGTAGGATGTACCCTTACCCTCTACAACGCACCCTCCCACACACAGATTTAATCTAGGGCCTATTCAAGTCTAAATACCCAAACTGGGTTCTATTCTCTTCTATCATGACACATTTGTATTTTTCCCTGAAAGAAAAGAAATGCCTCATGCTTCTTCATGGAGACTTCTCTCGCTGTTCAGGGCCTAGTAGGTGCTAATATCTCGTAGGAGATACAGTGATAAACATGTAAACAAGTAGTAAATTAACAAGCTGAATCTCTCGCAGTAACAAATGCCAGTCAGGGAATGAAAATAGGGGGATATGACTGTGAATGGCAGGGTGACCGTTTTAGATTCCGAGGTCAGGGAGAGCCTCTCTGAGGAGGTGACATTTAAGCCCAGATGTCACAAAGTCACCAGCCATATGAAAATCCTCTTCAAAAACATCCCAGATGGAGGGAAGGGCAGGTCAAAGATTCCATGGTATGTTCAGAAAGAAGGCATGTGTTCCCTGACACATTGCCTCTTCTACTAATTCACCCTCCTCCTTGTCAGTTGTCAGTCAGCTGATGAGCCCACTTCCTACTTCACTGAGAGAAGGGGGGAGAGCACCCCACCAGCATGACAGGGAGCCAAAGGCATGCTGAGGACAAAGTACAAGCTGACAATTGCTCCCCCGCCCCCCACAGTGACATTCCTCAGACACTCCTGGCTGTCCAAGAACAAAGGGAGGGGGAAAAAGGGGAAAACAAATGGTTAACTGATAGAAATCAGTTTGCAAATGTCTTAGTAAGTGACAAAAAAAGGCAATGTTATAATAACAGCCAGACTTCCAGAAATCCAAAGACTCAGTTACCTGGAGCCCTAACATCACCTTCCCCTCCTTAGTGATGTGCAGAACAAAGGCAGGAAGAAAATGTAAATAACATTAAATTTCTTTATAACCTGCAGCCCCTTGACAAATACTTGAGGCAAATACAGAGTATAACATTCCTCCAGGAACCCCCTACTGTCTTAATGTTAACACTTTGCTAGAGGGAAAATCAACCAGCTCAACAATACCAAGGACTCAGTATCTTATGAGTCCTCTTGAACATATGAAAGTCCTTTTGGAACCTCCCTTTTTCCTTACCTGGCCCCCCAATTCTGTAGTATATAATCAGTCACTCTTCACAACGCCAGTGCAGCTCTTTCTACCCACAGGTCCTGTCCCACTGCTTCAATAAAATCACCTTTTTGCACCAAAGGTGTCTCAAGAACTCTTTCATGGCTGTCGGCTCTGGACCCCCACCACCACTCCAAAACCACATCAAGCACATCAGCCTACAGACCTAGAGCTAACCTGTGCAGTGGCACTTGGATTCCCTGTCCTGTGACTGTGGATGAGTCGTATGCCCTGGGAGACCAGGGAGAAGGGCAGTCCTTCTCTTTCCCCTGCGTCACCTCCTGCTCCCTTCCGCCCATATCTCCCCATCAACAAACAAATACCCCTCACCAATTCCAACCCACGTGGCCTCCAAACCACATTTGCCTCTCAAAGTGACTCTCCCAAGAGTTGGGCTAAAAACATGGCACCACTTCCCCTATGCCTAACTTCTCTTGAATTCACTCTAAAGGGAGTTTGATCACCAACCACTCCACCTAGTGGGGGCTCTCATGTGGTCTGTTTCACATGGTGATGCCAAGGCAGACTGCAGCTAGGAGGCTATTGCTGTGGTCAAGGAGACAGGAACTCACAGAGCTGAAGGGAGGTTCATGTCTTTGCAGTTTGTCTTAAAGGTCAAGTCAGCAGGACTCGCTGGTAAATTTGATGTGGAGGGTGGAGGGACAGAGGAGAAGCAAAGAAAGTTCCTGTATTTCTGTCATTATTGAGGAGACAGGGATAACCAGGGGCGGAGAGGGTTGGGGGAAATTCAGTTCTGAGATGCCCTTCAAGCATTCTTGTTGGAGGTGTTATATGGGCAGCCAGGATAAGAATCTGGAATGCTGGAGGGAGGTGGAAAACTGGAGAGGTCTATTTGAAGTTCAGGGACATAGAGATGGTTTTAAAGTCAGGGGTCTGGTGAGATTACCTAGAGAGAATACAGAGGTTGACTACCCCTCAGATGCTACCACAAGTAGAACCAGTCTGTCTCTCCAGGCTTATCCTCATTTCTGTCTAGAAGCACCCTGGGAAGCAGGCATATGGAGAATCCAGAATCCACACTCTTGGCCTTGGAATACACATGGAACGTGATCCTCTCTCCATCTCCTAAGCCTTTCTACCTACTCCAGCTCCCCCAAGCAGAGTTTCCATGGGGATCTGCCCAGTGAGACTGCTGATATGGGGCCCACACTGCTGTCTATATACAAACCATGCACTCATGGGGCACGTGTTGCTTAATATCCCCCTCACAACAAGGCGACCCATAAAAATCCTCCTTGAGGAAGAAAGTTTGGCCAAAACCTTCAGTCACCATACTTGAAAAAGGAGACATGGAGAGAGAACACAGCCAGTGCTGCCTGGGTCCCAGTCAGAAACACACTCCTAACTTTCATAATAAATGACTTGTTATTCAATTGCAGAACTGCTACGGATATAGATTAAATCAAATAAGATTCTCTGGTCAAGACTTTGTGAGGTTAGACAAATGCATTTCCTTGACCTCTCTCGGGTGGGACCAGGGCCCCTGTGACTTTTATAAACATACCACTGTACTGGAGGGTTTTCAGCATTTTTGTACCGGAATCCCTGGGGACCTCAGTTGGAAACGCTTTCTAAACCTGCCAAGCTGAAAGAGGGCCGAAAGAGAGCCAGGTTGGCCTCCGTGAGCCCTCACTGTCCAGGCTGGGGCCAGAACAGCCATTAGTCATGGCAGGTCTGCTTATTAATGGGCAGGCTTTCTCCTCCTAAATGATTCGTCTGCTGAAGTATAAACACCGATCCTCTGGAACAGCATCCACTCGCTTAACCGTATTTACTAATAAGCACCCTTGCTTGGGGGAGCCATAATTTGTCCTGGCTTTAAGGAGTAGCTGTAAATGAAGACTTAATCCCCCTGGTTCCAGAGCTGTCTTAGAAATTAAAGACAAAGAGAACCCTTTACAGTTCAGAAAGGCATATAAAATATTCCATATTATTACCGCCCGTGTCAACATCTAAAACTTATTTGAAGACATGTAAATCCTTTAACTTGCCTTTGCTGAAAGTTCCTGACTTCGAATGTTCCAGCACATATTACGATAGACCCTCTCATTTCACGAGAGGAAGCTCTCGCTGCTCTGGGACCAAATGCATG